GAAATACCCCTAATGGCCTAAATAATGGAATTGCTCTGGTTATATATGAAATCTTAATTTATTTTGATGTAAAGGTTCCTAAACACCTTTCTGATGCACTTGAAATCCTAAATGGTCTTGAAGCATTGATTCATGAATGTTTGATTAGATCTGCTAGTAATCGAACTCTTTTTAATGGTGACCTCGATTCTAAAATCCGATCAATTTTGCGTGTGTTCATATTTTCTATTCCTGATAATTTCAAACTCCTTCGAAAAATATTTGGATCCACTAGTGTGTTCCCTATTGAAAAAATGTTTCTCTGATTTATTAAAGTATGATTTCTGATATTATTGTCTGCTATCTGATTTGTTTTATTAGGGTACTGTCTGGGTAGGTGTTTGGAGACTCTGAGGTTCAGCTAGTTGGTAAATCCTTTTTGTTCTGATCATTCATATTAGACTCCTATATCATATGGGTCTAGGGTAAGTTCTTATGGACACCTGTTCTGGGGTACTGCATTTGGTGTACGATTGGAGGGAAACTCTGTATTTTAAGTAAAAACCCAACTTCTAATTTCTGTTTTCTGTTATTACTGGTTTTATCTGAAACTGTTTTATTGGGGTATTGATTGGGTAGGATTCAGGAGTCTCTGAGGTTCAGTTAGCTGGTAAATCCTTTATGTTATGATCATTCATATTGGACTCATAGATCCTACGGGTTTAGGATAAGTCCTTATGGATGATGTATTGGGAATTTTCACACGGGGTATTCGGATGGAGGGTACTACAGTTATTTTAAAAAACATGTTTTACTGAAATAAATTACTATTGTTTATAAACTATGATTTCATTTTATTTTGCTTTTGAGGGAACACACTAGACGTCTGTTTCAATCTCTGAACCTGGTATTCTGAATGTTTCCTATGAGCTATAAGCTACTTGTCTGTTACCTAAAGAAATATCAATGAAACCTCAGCTCATCACGAAAACATGTAGATGCCTGAACTAATACGAGAAAATTTATGCTTGTCATTTATCTGCATGTCCTTCAACATCATTTGGTAGTTCTCTATTACTGAGCTTTCTAAAGCTCACTCTTTTACTCATCATTTCATGTTAAAAGATCGATCCAGTGCAGCTATCGACTTCAGTAATTAGAGTTCCTTCGGCTTTGCTTGCAGAGTACGGTACAAGTGTAATTAGGAGGCATGTAGATCATATTTAATTTTTATACTGAGTCTAGAACTTGTATGATTTTAATTCTTTCTGTCATATATGAATGGTTTTCTGAACTTGTATTTTATTTATAATTATTTATGATTTTACATATTTTAACAAAAAAAATTAATTTCTCTTGGATTTTTTCTGTGGGTCGCTTCAGATAGTTTCATTCACCGTTGTAACATATGTGGTGCAGTGGCTCATTTGAGCTGCTCTTCACGTGCACAGAAGGATTGTAAGTGTGTGTGTCTATGATTGGGTTTGAGCATGTGATGCACCAGTGGGCAGTTCGATGGACAGAGCTTACCGATCAACCTGATGAAGCATCATTATGTAGTTATTGTGAAGAGACATGCAGCGGGTCTTTCCTTGGTGGTTCTCCTATATGGTGTTGCTTGTGGTGCCAACGACTCCTGCATGTGGACTGTCACAGTACAATGTCTAATAAAACTGATAAAATTTGTGATTTAGGACCATTCAGAAGGTTGGTTCTCTCACCTCTTTATGTTAAGAAATTGAGCCCCAGTTCTGGATTTCTGAGCTCAATCACACTTGGTGCAAATGAGTTAGCTTCTTCGGTACGGGAAACCATTAGGAATCAGAGCAAGAAACACAAGCATAATAATAAAACCATTGTTGATACATGTAGTAATGGTAGTGTTTGTGACATGTCGACGAGGGCACTGCTGATACCCACAAAGTGTAAATGGTTCTCATGCAATAGAGAAAAACTGCAATGATATGAAAATAGAGTCAAAGCCTCGTATCAAAAGAAGTGGATCAATTAATACGAAGGATGAGTCTCAAGTAATAAGGATGAAACAAAGATATGAGCTGACCGATTTACCACCAGATGCGAGTCCATTACTGGTTTTCATCAATAAGAAGAGTGGTGCCCGGCGTGGAGATTCCCTCAGGCAGCGCTTGAACCTTCTGTTGAATCCTGTTCAGGTTTGATTAACTATCCATGATTTTTTTTTAAAACTAATGTGCTAGTGTGTATTTTCATTTATTTATTGGTGGTGAGGGTGGGGTAGCTGTGTAGGAGAGGAACTATGGGCTAAAATGAATTTAAACTCCCACTTCTCTGATGAGATAATTTACTTGCTTTTCGAGAAGTAAATTAACACCCCAACAGATGATAAGGATTGTGCTAGCTAAACTTGATAAAATTTAGCATTTAATACCATATTAATGACAATAGTTAAATTTTAGAATCATTCATCTGTTTCCGGCTATTTGCTCATTACAAATGACTGGTAGACTCACTTGAATTTGAAGAGTAACCAACATAACCTCTTAAGGTCGTGAGAGTTTTCTGAATTCTTGGTTTGCCATTTCATACTAGAGTTAATAGAAAAGTGAGATAGAAAAAACTGTAATTGCACACACGGTTACATGCCAGGATTGACTTCCCTCAAATTCTTGGAAGATGATGCCAAATGCACGTATTTTTCTTGGGTTTCTTAATGAATTGATAACCTTATAAATTATAATTATACTGCAACTGCTGTTACCGCTACATGGAATGCCTTTCTTTTTAATAATGTTCTAGCTTATCTGATTTTAGGTTTGGTTCTTGACTTTCATAGTTGTCAATATGTTTTCTGATTTTGTGTTTTGAAGGGTTTTCTCTTTAAAATTGGTCTGAACTTCTTGTTGTTTCTGTTTTCATGTTTTTGACTTGTTTTGCAGCTTGATGTTTTTGTTTGTGTATTCTCCTTAAAATTGGTCACAGCCATTCGTTGGTTTATCATTTTCATGTTTTTGAGGGTTTTGTCCATTCAGGTTTTTGAATGGAGTTCAACACAGGGACCAGAGATGGGTCTCTCTTTATTCAGAAAGGTTCCTCATTTTAGGATACTTGTATGTGGTGGGGATGGTACTGTTGGTTGGGTTCTTTATGCAATAGACAAGCAAAATTATGTTTCACCACCTCCAGTTGCAATTCTCCCTGCTGGAATTGGAAATGATATGGCAAGGATACTGTCATGGGCAGGTGGTTTGGGATTAGTGGAAAGACAAGGGGGCTCTGCAGAGTCTTACAGGACATAGAGCATGCTGCACTGACAATTCTTGACCGCTGGAAAGTAGCTATTTTGAACCAACAGGGGAAGCCACTTCAGTCTCCAAAATTTATGAACAATTATCTAGGTATGCAGACTAGTTCTTTTTAGTCGTCTAGAATCTGATTAAGTTCAACGTCTAGATTGTCATGTTGATGTTTGACCCAATAGAGGGTTTGTGGTTTGCTTGATTTGGATTTGGTTGCATGTTGCATTATGTCTATAAATATCTTTCAATTATATTTTGTAAATATATGTCTATGATATCCTGAAACTGAGAAAATCATTCAGATTGGTCACTTGGTATTTTAGCTGGCCGACTGGTAGATTTATCTTGTTTCATTTTCTTGGTTAGACCAGTGTAGTAGTATTTTCAATGTCTTCCCCTGTTCACTTACTATAACTTGTTAGTCTCCTCATGCTTTATGATTTTCTCACAGGGATTGGTTGTGATGCGAAGGTCGCGTTGGACATTCACAACTTGCGAGAGGAGAATCTTTGAGAAGTTGTATAATCAGATTGTTATCATCTTCTTGCAATGTGCTTATCAAATGCTATGCAAAATAAATGTGATAATTTATGGACTAATTATGTAGTTTGTGCAATTGAAAAATGTTTTTAAATTTCAGCCTACCTGATTATGATAGCTCGAACTTTCTGATCTTTTCCCTTTACATATTTATAGATACACGATTTTAGAAATGTAAATATAATAATCCAATTGTATCGGTTGGAAATGTATATCTGCCCCTTAGAGCAAACACTTGCTCTTTGCATGTTACTACAATCTAAATAATGCAGAGATCTTATATTAACTGGTGAAACACAAGTCTTTGCGTACTTTATATGCAGATTTCCATCTCATTACATATTATCAACATAGCACAAGTGTGAACCAGGGAGGCTGTAATAACATATAGCTTTGAAGTACATACAAACGGAAAATTGAAGATCTAAATGAATTGGATATTTTGGACTGTGTTTTCTTTGTAGTAACTTTTGCATGCCTGATAATCTGGTCTTATTCGTTATACAATTCCATATTGCTGACTTTGCCTCAATATACCTGCAGTTTATGAATAAAGTGCTTTATGCAAGAGAAGGTGCTAAGAGTATAATGGATAGGACGTTTGCAGACTTTCCCTGGCAAGTTAGAGTAGAGGTGGATGGTGTTGAAATAGAGGTTCCTGAGGTATGGATGCTAGCTTTTATTTAGACATATTGCTGATCTATTTTAATTTATGAATGGGGAAGAATTTGGATAATTATAGATTTTGTATATTATACTTAAAATGTGTGATAAAAATAATACAAGCAGGGACGAAGCTGTCCTCTGTTTCAAGGGCTGCTGCCTCTTGAGCTGGTATCTTAATTTCGTCCCTAAATATAAGCATGATACATTCATAAAAATTATACCATAATATAAATAGATTTTAAATGTTTTTATAAATAGATTTTGTTGAATTGATAATTAGTCAGGCAGATGATCTGATGATAAATTTGACTTGATACCCAAATTAATCACAACGGAATTAACCAATATTACTACCCAGAGAAATAAAACAAATTGAATCAAAATAAAACAAGCTTCCACCTTTATAGAACACAAAGTGTTTTCTTTTTCGTCTGAAAATCCCGTTTGTGAATACCAAGTCGATCCATCTTCTTGATTCTCCATTTTTTTTCTTTGCCTTTTTGTCTCTTCTTGGTTGAATCTTTGAAGGAAAAACAAAACTAAAGAAAGAAAGATGGGATGTTCAGAAACTAAACTAGCTGAGTCCAAAGCTCGGTGGCGATCGACTGGAATTGTTTCCTTACGTGACGCTAAATTGAAGGCAAGAAATTCCTTTTTATTTACGTTTCTTTTCTTTATATGCTTTGTGTATTGGAGGATGTAAATTGACATGTTAAATTACTATGGTTTCTGGGTTTTGCTTAATTTGTCTCTTTCTATGAGTTTTAAAAAGTCCTTTGTTGTTTATGATTGGCCAATTATGCTCCATTTGTATGCACTTTCTTCCCCCCCCCCCCCCCAAAAAAAAGCTTTATATCGGTTTTGTAAAAAAGTGAAATGTCTGTTATTTACATGTTGAAGATATTTTCTGGGCTTTTCTTAATTCGGTTGAATCTAGGTTTTAGTTTTTATTTCTTAAGATGATAGGACAATAATGCCCCATTTATATGCAACTTCATATGTTCTTTAAGTTTTATAGTATTAGTTTTGCATCAATATCTGTTGTTTATATGTTGAGGATATTCTCAATTCATTTTGTTTTAAGAAAAGCCTTCTTTTTGGAGAGTGAAATACATGACTGTGTTTTTATATGGACAAAATTTGGTTAAATTTTGTTTCTTGTTATAGTCATTGGTTATATTTATTCGATCATGGTTTTGTTTTTAACAGTTCTGTATACTTTATAGTAGCTTTCTGAAAGAAAATATCAAGTGGCATTCAAAGAAAGCCTTAATCTAATATGTATGCCTGGTGTGGGAACCGATTACAATTAAATGGATGCAGGGTTCATGTTAATTTGTTATTGCAAAATCTTGTGCCTCATTGATCGAGAAACGTGGTAGTTTTAACGACTTCCAATGACGATTCTTGCATCTGTTTCTTCTAAGTATGATGAAGGGTGTACTTTGGTTTTGAACAGGGTTCATTTTAATTTTTTTTACTAAACTCCCAGTACCTGATCGTCACATCAGGTCTCCAACTATGTTGGAGTGTTGACTTTGTCTAAAGGTCCTGACTATTCTGAAGTCGAGCCGGGTCTGAGGCTCTGAGCTCAAATTGCATACATTATTGATTGAGAAACATTGTAGTTTATATGACTTCCAATGGGGATTCTTGCATTTGTTCCTTGTGTGTTTGATGAATGTGACTTTGATACTGAACAGAGTTCATCTATTACAGTTAAATAGATGCAGGGTCATGTCTATTTTTTTGGTCCAAGACCCTTAGTATTTGGTAGTCACATTGACCCTGATTATTCTGGAATCGAGCCAAGTCGGCCTTAAGATTTATACCTTTTTGGTAGTTCAAATGCATTCCAATGGTGATTCTTGTATTTCTTCACTTTGACTTTCAACAGAAATTTCCCGATGAAGTTCTTGATCTGGACAAATCTGTGCGAACTCTCGATTTAACGCAAAATAAATTAGGTATGACCCTTTCCAACTTGTGAATTGGATTAAACAATGGAAACATGGTAGATTTTTCCTACTATATTTGGACTTGTTTATACGTCAGACATAGGTATTGTTAGATATTTCTAAGACTCTTATGTATTTGGAGGATCTTTTGATGTCATATTTCCATATCCATGTGTCAGACATGAATAGCAACTCAAAGAAAGGTGTTTCAAAAATAAGGAGTCCGAGCAATATATGTTTTTTTAGAAATCAATCAAACATGATTTCCTTAGTAAGGAAGGAATATCATTTCTTTTTCGATCTCAAAACCTGGTTCCATGAAGCCTTAAGTTTCTTAGTTACCATTCTTAGTCAATTTTTATCCCTCAATGCAGTTGAAGTTCCTATGGAGATCAGCAAACTAGTCAACATGCAGCGACTGGTAAGATATTTTTCAAGTGTTGCTTACAACATGCAAGTTTTCTTTCTATGTTACTCAGATTTGGGTGTCATATACAAATATGTATTCACATGGATATGGTCAGATTTTCTAAGTTTTCCATGTTTTTGGAGTGTTTTCAGAGGTAGTATCCTTGTTTTGGGCACAAATGGAAAACACAGATACATCAACACATAATAAATAAAAGTATGAGTAACTTAGGTTTCTTTCAGTACATGAATATTAAATATGTTTTCAAGTCAATCATGTTAGTTGGTTGACTCTTTTCTCTATGCCATTTGTTGTAATTAAAGGGAAAACAAAATAAAGTTTAGCTTACAGCTATGTTGCTCTAACTTTTTATGTTTCTATAAGTAATTTTTATGTGACACCTATGTCTGGCACATTTCAGAAATAAGAATGAGGATATGACCCTCAAAAAACTCTCCAAATAAATTAAATTATTAACGTATCCACGTCAGACACATATCAATATCCAACACTTGCACACGAATCCAAATAAACACAGGCTTACGGTTTGCACCATCCTTTTCATATCACTTTCATATTTTGGTCACTATTTGTGAATTCATTACATTTTGGAAGACTGGAATGCACTGTCTTTTTCAGCTAATGCTTTGCATTGGAATGCATCGGTTTCTAATGAGTATTTGCATATGTTGCTGTGACTCTTCATTTTGTTTGAAGTATCCGTGTCTGACATATATTCAAATATGATTATAGAGATATAATCCTTCAAGGAACCCCACAAATACATGCAAGAACTCAGATAAAATTGAACACATGACCGTATCCGGCACTCATATCTGAATCTAAGCAACCTAAATTTGCATGTCTCGTTAGCATATTGGGGACATGAAAAAATATGAAAACTATGTTGTTTCGATTCTTTTTTTCTCTTGGAAGTATTATCTGTGTCCGACACTCATACTAGACACATGGATATGTTGGATATGACCTCCAAAACCTTTCAAATACATGGATCAGAAAATATGGACATGCCTGTATTAGATTCATATTTGTATTTGTATCTTACATTTATTCCCCCGTCCGAGTAACACAGAGTAAAATTACTGAAGTAGCTCTCTTCTTTTTTACCTTCCAGATATTAGCCTCTAATCATATTCAGGGATTACCTAGTGTTCTGGGGAAGCTTCAGTCTCTGAAAGTTATGGTACTCGATGGGAACCGAATTACTTCTTTGCCAGATGAATGTAAATTAAGTAACAAATTCTTAAATGCATTTGTTTGCCTCCATTGTTTGCAGATTTGCTTCAGTGCATTGTCTGCAAACTTCATGGGGTAAATGTACTGTCTCATTGGCTTCTAACTGTATTTCTTTCAGTGGGTGAGCTGGCAAGACTCGAGAAGTTATCGATTTCTGGAAATATGCTAACTTCCTTACCCGAGGCTATTGGCAGGTTGCGCAATGTAAGTGATCTGTGGCGCTCCAAGTCTACATTTCTATTGAGTATCTGTGTTCAGCACAGAGACATGGCGATATGACCTTTAAGGATCTTCCAAAATGGAAAACTTAGAAAAGATCGTAACTGTGTCAAAAACAAACTTGTATAAATGTATTTAACACTTTAATCCATGTAACATGGTGTGAAACTGTCTGCTATACTCCTTGGTTTTGCATATATTTGCATGTTTGTGTGGTTGAACATCTAAGCACCATAGTAATCTCGAGATTAACCAATTTGATTGTAATGAAGAATGAGAAAAACAACACCGGATATTAGACATTGTTTAAAGAACTAAATACCTATGATAAGTAACGGGAGGGGTACGGTTGCTTTGAATGTTACATATAGTTCCTGGATCTAATTTATGTTTGATTATGCAGTTGTCGCTGCTTAATGTGTCTAGTAACAAGTTAAAGAATCTTCCTGAATCAGTTGGGAGTTGTTCTTCTTTGGAAGAACTGCAAGCAAATGGTATGCTTCTGGATGTATATTTACTTATGTTGTTCTGATTCTTCGTTCTTCTTAGAAAATGTTTTTGGTTACGGGTATGGAGATATGGCCCTCAAAGACAATCTAGATACGTGTAAAACACAAGAAGAAACTGATCCTCCTTAGCTTTGGACATAGATCTGTCATGAATCTGTTGGGAAATGGTTTATTCTCATAATGATGGTGCAGCAATCGACTATGTTACTTGGATTCCGAAGTTTGTGTTGGATTCCAAATGTGTACAGGAAACTACATGAAAAATGAACAGTCAAGAGTAACACTGTCGATTAGGACTTATTTATCCAAAGTTATGGCATATAATATATAGACCAATGAAAATAAAATGTTATGCTTTGATGCATTAATCCTATTTCTACAACTCACAACTTTATGATTTCCCCTACCTTTTTCAGATAATCTTATCGAAGAACTTCCTGAATCTATTTGCAACCTTGTTCATCTAAAGTCACTTAGCTTAAACAATAACAAAGTCATCCAGGTAATAACTGCTTAGTTCCAGTCATTTCTAACATCCTCATGCTTTACGATAATTGTCATGATTGATCGATTGACAAGGTATCCTCAATTCTCTGGACCACATCGCACTGTGCTTGCTCACAATCCAGTATTGTCCTCTCTGGGGGCCATGGATCCCTGTCACCTGAGTATCAGAATTGCATATAGTCCTCTTATTTGGGGAAGTCCTGGATTCAAACCAGGGGAGGAATACTTTTGGGTAATAAAGCCTTAAGGGACCTGTGGGTGCCCGAAGAGGACAATGTCGGATTGTGGGCACCCTGTGACACAATGCAGCCCAGGGAAATGAAAGTACCTTGCATAAATGACACAGTGTCGATTTATTTTTAAAATTATCCCTATACGGCATTAATGTTCATACATGTGAGAATACGGCCTCTAGGGATCCTCCAAATACATCAAAAAATTTAGAAAAATCTTAGCATATCAATGTCGGGTATCTGGGTACGAGAATATGATCTCAAAGGATCCTCCGAATACATAGAAAAACTCAGAAAAATCTTATCATATTCATATCCATTGCTTGAGGACAATGTTTTGTATATATAGTCTGATATCTCTTGCTTGACAGATACCTCCTAAAATATTGAAAAACTGCAAAGCTCTCCAGAATTTCTCACTTCATGATAACCCGATTTCGATGTCTCAGTTTCAGCAAGTAAGGTTCTGCATTCTCCATGACTCACTGCCAAATTTGGTTAAAATTTTTCTGAAATATCTCAAATGCTTCATATGCTTATATATGTATATAGATGGATGGATTTGAAGAATTCGAAGAAAGGAGGAAGAAGAAGTTCGACAAGCTACTTGACTCGAATATAATGCTCGGTTCCAAAGGCCTTGATGAGGGTCTTGATCTATAACTCCATTGCATTGGATCTTCTGGTAAGATTGAGTCTTACAGCAAACTATTGGGCTTTCGTTCCAAAAACAACCTTGAATTCAGTTCGGCCATTGTCTAGTCGAGTTTGAACACTTCGAGCTATTCAGTGAGGTTGAACTTGAATATCGTAAATTCGTAATGCTCGAATCAATTTCTCTTGAGCAAGTTGATTTGAGCCTATATGTATCCTACTTTGATCGTAGCATCATGCGGATTCAATATCTAATTAAGTCGTATATGTTTCAGTTATTTTGTATTTGTAGACTCGATTGGCAATTAAATTAAGCTATATTTTCTTTCTTCTTTTGAACAAGATGGAAACAGGTCGAGTTCGAATTCGAGCTTAAGCAGTCGGGAGGAGCGTGCGAGCATGTGGCCACTATCTTGACAACATTTGAGTCGAATAGATTGCGGTTGCAGTTTGCACTCGGATGTATACTTCCAAGACAAAGAACAATGTATACTTACAGATTTATGTTGGATTTCTTTGTAAACTGATTACAACAACTATACACACGTATACATTTCATCAACAGTTTGGCTTCTATTCTTTTATCAGGTTAGATGAGTTGATCAACATGATTTTGGCTTCTATAAATTATTCAGTCTATATCTACCTAAATTCATAAAACGATATGGATATTATCATATATGGTATTTGTACTTTGATAAAATATTTAATATAATATATGACTTCTAAAATATCTAATGCGTTACATGTGTTTTGATAAAATGTGTAGTAATAATATTTTTAAAATGTATAATGTAATACTTAAGTGAGTGATTAATAAAATATCTAGTGTATAGTATATGTATTTGATAAAACATTCAATGTGATATTTAAACTATCATTTTATATATTATTACAGTACTTGTGAATTTTCGTTGGCTGAATCGACCCTTACTAATTGTGTGAATCCAGTTATCATAATAATACACGGAAATTAATAGCGTATATACATGAAATGATCATTCATGTATCATATTTGACAATTTAATAACGTATATATCAAATTAACTATTTTATCAAAAATATAAATAACATATCAAATATTTTATCAAAACATAAATACATCATTAAATATTTCAAAAATAAGATATCATACTAATATTTTTAATAAGATACATATACTAAATGTGATTATCTCACAAATATGAAAATCAACTCATACGAATCAAGTATATGGTTTTTTTTTGCCCAATACCCCATGCGGGTAAAAAAATTAAGGTATTGGGCCTACCTAATTGTATTTAGCAAACTACAACATTTGTTATGGTTCGCCTGGAACTTGTCACCTCGGATATTATTTTTTAATGGTCATCGCATAATGGACCTCATATAGACCATTATTTAATTGGGTTATAATAACTCTTCACGCCGAGGTGACTAGACTATTAAATATATATATATATATATATATATATATATATTAAAATAAATTTATAAAATAAAATAAAAATCGATGGAACACGTCACATTAAGGTGACGAGTTCCTTCCAATTCAAAAAAGTAGATGTTGGCTAGCAACTGTTTAACGGGCAGAGGGGCAACAACGGTCAATGGAACTCCTCACCTAGACATTTTGAAAAACTAGTTGTTTATAGCCGTTGGGGGTAAGGCTATAAATATGGGTTTGGAGTTTTGGTATTTCACCAAACTATAAATTCAAAAAAAATTGAAAAAATATGTTGTGCGAAATCTCAAAATATGGCAACCTGAGAATATATGTTACGCCTGGATAACGTACGGGTTTCGTCGATCCAATGCGGGCTGGACAACGAATGGAGTATTCGTAGTCGGGGGATGATAACCAGAGAGCCGTATTAGCAGATGATGACATATTTGTATCAATCCGGTCTATTTTTTGCCATATTTTTACGTGACTCCAAGGTGTAGTCGATGTTGATTGAGTCTCTGGTCGAACGTTAGCGCCCCTAGTCGCACACGTTCCACTTCCTGAGTGGTGAAGCGACGATTACTCTAGAAGACATCGCTTACCAACTCGGTGTATCGGTGAATGGAGCCCCCGTCATTAGTCATAACTTTTACGACCCCGCGATGTTGATTCACCAAGTCTTGGGAAAATGGCCACCATCCGACTTCATAAGGGGCTATAGGGTAATGATAACGTGGATGGAGTTCGAATTCCAAGTCACGGACGAGTATACCAAAGCAGAGGTTGTTTTCGCATCCTGAGCATTTCTTCTCCAAGTGATCAGAGGGATATTATTACCGGACAAATCTGGTATTTTGGTGCACTATAACACCCTAGACCAGTACGACACACAGTCGACCGATGTAGGATGCCACACAAAACCACCAAAGTGGCTAACCAACTTATTCTTACTTTCTTGTACTTTAAAAAGACTCTTTACATCTAAGAGCCCTCAAAATATATAGATACCTACATACTAACTCTTAAATGACTTTACAACTAAATTCATGAATATACATGTCATTTAAGAAACTTGTGACGTACTCTGCTCTGCACTGGATATGGACCTCAGTCTCTCTAAAGCTTCTCAACTACTGGATCTACTAACATGCCCACAGAAACATCTTAAGGCTGAGATAACTAGCTCAGCATAAAACATACTAAAAGTTTTATAACTGAAATGCTCAATCTATCAAGTCTACTACTATCTAGTCTATTGGTCTATTCTGTATTGCTTTAGTGAGTGATACTCACTCTCTACTCTATGGTAGACATTATGGTACGGCTAAGGGTTCTGCATCTCGGAGCTCACACACCCCTCTAGTTTACCGAGAATGTGGCCCCTGGAATCTCTGTATCGGACACCATACTCTCGACTAGCCCACTCCTTGAGTGTCGGACCTTGCACCCAAACTAAGCTTAAAGTGACTTGCACACTCCTTAAGGATATCCATACTGAACCTATACTTTCGACTCTACTATCTTTTCTAAAGGCACTAAGGTGTCCTGGTTGTTTTCCTAAGCATTCAAACATGGCTAGTCTTATTTCACCTTACTTTATTCTTGTTTCTACGTTTGAATTAAACATCATTAATGTTCTCACTTGAAGTCTTATGTGAGAAAATACTAAAGTGTTAGGGTACCTTGAGTCTAATTCCCTTAAAGCTAATATTTTTTGCCCAAAACAAACTAAAAAGTATTGATACTAGCCCAAGAGTATCGATACTCCAGCCAAAGTTTCGATACTTTATATAAGTACCGATACTTTTAAACATTCTATTCTGCCCAATTTTGAAACGTTTTGGGAGTTTCAAAATTATGACCCAAAGTTTTGATACTATTGAAAGATTATTGATGCTCTTGCCCAGAAACTCACAAATTTTCCAAAAACGAAGAACGAGTATCGATATTATTCATGTAGTATCGATATTCTACCTGCAGAAGTCATAAAACGCATATGAAAATAATATATTTCAATCTCAAATACCCTAGTGAGGTCCTCAAACATTCTTTAAAGTCTTATATGATTACAAGGAGCATAAATAAGGCTTTATATTATGCTTATAACATAAATCATGTAATCTACCATTAACATATAACTCTAAGCTTCATAACTTACTCTCAAGATAAAACTCATTTCTAATGATCACTAGGAGTATGAAAGAGTTTATAGTGTGTTACATGGCCTTCTTGGTTGCTAAAATCTCCCTCAACTCAACTAGGAGTCACCTTACCTTTATCATTTGCTTTAGAACTTCACCCACCTCATTGGCTAATCAAAACAAAACTAGGGGTTATTAACTTGTCTATGACTTGGAAACTAAGTTGAACACTCTATACTACTTAACATTACTCAAAACAAGCTTAAATATCTAGGTTCTTTTCAAACTCCCAAAAATCTATTTTGAAAATAAATTCTAAAACTCACAAAATGGAGTTTGAAACAAAGCTTGAAGATGGAGAGAAACATTTCTACCTTGGGTAAACCAATCTAAGATTGGAATGCTTGAAACTTGGCTCTTAAAAGAAAGAAGAAATGAAAACTAATGGAAGGAAGAAGAAGAAGAAGAGTGGGTGAGATATTATGGGGAGTTTGGTTACGTGAAATGATATAAAAAGAGGGAGAAAGTTTTCAACTTCAATAAAATGGGTAAACTACACTTTAGGTCATTCACCTATTAGCTCACTTTTAAACTATCTCTTAACTTTAACTCTTGGGCCTACCTTAGGCCTAAAACCTATATAACTTGGTACAACTATCTTGAGATGTCTAATTGTCTTGACTTAAAGGTCTCAGGTTGACCCAAACTACAAGAAATTTTGTCCTCGAAATTTCCCGAGATAAAGGTTTTACTCTGAAACTCTACTGGGCATCTATGACAGGTCCTGGCCACTAGAACATCTAACTCTAGGGTTTGAATACTCAAACCCCTATCTGAAACGCAATGGCTAAAACTCTATCTCTTGAACTAGGTCATAACTGATAGAAAAATCCTTATGACACTCCACAACTCACTGTTAAAGCCAAAAATTTCTTTAATAGCATCTTTATCTATTGGGAAAAGACAACTCTGAGACCTGATAGCACTTGCCAAAACTTCTACTAAAATAAACTTCTATGTTTCTACTGTGCAACTCTAATTTGATACTCATCTACGTTAACAAACTGCTTTCTCGACCTTATGGTTCCTCCATGAAACCTTCACTAGAGAAAACCTTATGTTCCCTAATGGCCGACATAAACTTTAAACCCTTGGGCTTCTCACTAAACATCACTATCTTACTCTTATCTTTCTTTATAAGCTTAAGTTATCGAACTAACACTTTAAAGTCACATCTATTATAGCCTGAGCTCTCTATTATTGTAGATGTCGAAGTATGCCATAATTTTTAGGGCAAGCATACTGATAAATTACTTACTGAAATTGACTGACACTGACCCCCGGGTCCTATGAACGTAAATCCTTACTCTCTAGTACCATTAAATGTAACACCCTAGACCACCGCTAACTCTGACTACTATCTGGTCTACTGCTATCTACTCAATTGGTCTGTTCTGTACTATTTTAGTG